CTGATGTTTCTATGAGGAATCTTTGCAAAGAGACTTAAAGGTAAGCTTGGTTGTAGTCTTTTATTCTGGTCTGTGCTTGGCAAGGAGTTAGCAGTCTCTTGGTTGGATATCTCTTGGGATTGGCCCGTTGTGTGTCCATCTCCCTCAACTGCCATCTCTGATGAGTAAACTCATCCATTTTCATGGCAAGGAACATAGCTGCATTCGAGGTTGGAAGTGCAGTGTTCAAGGGATTGTATTGCAAACTGACAGTCCTTGAACTATCATAAAACTGCTCTGAGTGCTTTGGGAGGTAGGAGGGCTGCTCTGGCTAGAGGGAGGGAAGGAAACCATTTCTTCTCTCCTTTACTGGTAAGGAGATGCCAAGAACTTCAAGATAAGCAGATTGTAAGTGAAGTTGTACCTTACTAAATGGGAAGCTTTATTTGATGGAGTAATGCATGGCAAGTCAGCCTCTGTTTGTTTGGATTTTTGTAATGACCCAATGGTTTAGAAGAATTGTTTCTGTTTTCCCCCCAAGTCATTGTTTTTTTCGCCATTAGTGGTTCCTGATTTATGTCTGATTAACTTTCACAAGAGCAATGGCTTATAACTGTGACATAATCAGCAGTCTGGTACCCTTGGCATACTAGTTTGGATCCCATGGAGTTGCTCTTAGGAAGAATAGACCTTGGTCTGTCTTTTTTGCTAATCATTACCGAGATTTGCAGAAAAATCTCCAGTGTTCACTACTAAAATTAGCTGGCCAGCAAGGGCTCTTCCCTTTTTGATTTCTCTTTGCAGCTCAGGAGCCAGTGCTGTGGAAGATGCACTTGCTTTCAACCCATTTTTTCTGTGTCTAATTATCTTTAAATGCCACCATATTACATTCACATTTCTGCCCTTCTCCTTTAACATTTGAAGCTAGAAAATAAATGTTCTACTTTAATATAGGACATGAAGTAAAGTAGGACTGATTAATTATTTTAATACCCTGTAGTTCTTCTTTGCCATGACAGAATCTAAAGAAAGACGAAACATTTAGGGGTTGATAGGAAACTGGTGCAGTCCACCCAGGATAGGGATTTATTTTGTGTTTTGGGACCTGATGTACCTGTACAAATTTTTCATCAGTGTCTGTTTCTGATGAAAAGACAAATCACTACTTAGCACGATGCTGCTTCTTGTGGGGTGGTTTGAGGTGTGGTGTTGGGTTTTTTTTCCTGCTTCTTTCTCCTTGGATTAGCCACAGTTTTTCCTTGTTCCTTTTTGATCAAAAGCCTTTAATGAACTCTGATGATTTGAGGAAGTACTTTCTCCCAATCTGTTGTATTCCAGACGTTTAAGTAGAAGGGACCTTTGTATTTTAGTTAGTCCTCTGTCACACTGACTGAACACGAAAGCCTGGGTAGGGAGTAGCTCTCATGCCTTAGGACGTACATGCTTTCTGATTTTCTTGATTGCTTTTTGTTTGCTTTGTGCTCTTGCTCTCTCATGTTACCTCTTCGATGTCTTTTTCGTCTTTCATTTAGCTTGCATACCACCCTATATACCCAAGATATTGAAATTGATTTCCAGTACGCCAGTGTTGCTCTTACCAACTCACTAATACGTCTCTGGAAGGTCAGAGAAAACCATTTTTGATTTCCTGTCCATCACAAGTATTGAGAAACTGTTGTTCTTCTGTCATAACGTTTTCTTAACTTACTTCAGTAAGGCTTTTTTTCCTGAGAAGTCCTCTACTTTTCCTGCTCTGCACAAATGAAAACAAAGTCGTTTTTAGTTTTGAGATGATGTAAAACTTCTTGGTTAGCCAAACATGTTCTTTAGTTCAACTACTTCAAACATAATTGATTCCCGTTTCAAGGATATGAGTGTGAATTTCAGGCCTTCAGCTATGTACTGAGAGCCAAATTATAGACCAGACTTGTCCAGTGTTTATATTGGAAACTTCACTAAAGCTTACTGTGGAAATCTGGCCAGGCACCATTATAATTGTTAAATATTTTTGTTGCCAGAATAACACAATTCAGTATTACATCTAGAGAGAGAGAAATACTTGGGCTTAGGGTGCTGTAGGTGTTACATACATGGTGTTTTGTTCCAGGTGATGACTGAGTATTTCTTGCATATTTATTTTCTTGCACTGTGGGATCCTGGGTATGAAAAGCTGGTTTTATTAAAATAATAGGTTGAGCTTTGCTGATTTGATAAAAAGGGGAAAATGTGGCTGTCAATGACTCCCTGTCTAGTTTGCATTTAAAACAGAGCAGGTAATAAAGCAGCAAGGCAGATCCTCTCCATGAAAGGCATTATTTCCATTTAAGAGAAGTGCATTTCTAATTAGTAGTTTTTCTACCCAAGACAGGACAGACCAAGAATTGAAGTATTTCAAGACCAGATTTCTTAAAGCAGTGAATAATGCATTGGTTGAAGTATGTTCAGCCTGTGCTTGCTAGCCAGGACTTTTCACCTCCCTTCAATAGATTTGGTTTTGCTTTTTCTGCTAATTTTTAAGTATGAACTGATTATTTTCTAGTTAGAACTTGAATTTCTACTGATTATAAGATCAGCTATCTTTCAGAGTTTGCTTTTAGGAGCTTTGAAGGTTGAAGGGGCTGCGTAGTTGCTTAGTTGGTTATGTTTCTGCTCCACGTTGTTCAGTTAGAGCCGCTGGTGTGGCCCACATGTTCATGCAACTGCTGTCACCCTGAGCAGCCTCCCTCCTCCCTTTTCTCTCCTCCCCTATTCCTGTGGTACATCTCATCCTTTCTTTGCCAAGGGACACGTCCCCCGGGAGCTGCCTGAGAGGGAATTTGTTCAGGTACAAACACATCTTTCAGTGTCCAGGAGTTGGTGCTTTTATATCTGCTTCAGGAGTCAACTGCGAGTCGGTCCTAGGAACACAGGAATTAAAGGCCAGGATATTCACTACTGTGAACAGTGTTGGTATTGGAAACTTCTTGGGATCCAGGACTGCTGTGTGTCTGCCAGATAGCTCTAGAAATGCTTACAGTTTTAGTTGTCAAAATACTCTAAACTAGCCTGAGGTTCAGTGCGTGACACTCGTGGCAGCTGGACCTTCCACATGTTAGTGGATGTTGCCTTTTTGTTTAGGCTTAATATGATACGCTTAAAGGGTGATTCTTGTGGTGGTTTTCACTGACTTATTTTTAGACTAGTAGATTCATTCATTTATAAAAAGAGTAAAAAAGAAGTTTCTAAATAGTATGAGTGACAAATGCTAATAGTGGCCTGGCTTGGCCAACAGATGGTCTGTGTGTGGATACTGCGAGCGTGGGCACGGGGGTGGCAGTCACTGCTCCCCTCCGGTACCACCTCTGGGTTTATTACTGCTACTTTGCTAAACCTCCTGTGATAAATGGTGAGTGCCAAGCAGAAGGCAGTGCCATGGCCGGGCTGACCCAGGGAGGGTGACAGGTTTCCCTTTTCCGTGGGGTGTGCCGAGTGCCAGTGGCAGGTCCTGGTGTGAGGAGAGGGCTGGCCTGGCTGAGCCCACTGGGTGCATCCTCCGGCAGCTATGGGGAGGTCAGGAGCAGGGAATAGTCTGTGGCTGTTTGTTTCTGCTGTGCTCAGGGAGACAGCCCTCTGCTTACATTCCTTGCAAGTTAATAGGGTTGCACCAGAGAATATACCTGACTTGGATGACCCAT